CCAGCATGTGCCTGCGGATCCAGGAGGGAGCCCTTGGAGCATGGTCTGTTCTCCCCTCCACAGGGGGAGTCAGTACGGACTGAGTAAGGCTTCTAGATGCCGTTCATGTTCTATGAAACCCTCTTGGAAAGGTAAGTCTAAGCGCATTCAAAGTTGTCCAGCGTCCCTTAAGTTCTACGATTTCACTAAAATTCAGGGGCTCAGGTGGCTCTGTACATAAAACTACATTATTTCTCCCCTTCTTAACTAAACATGGGATCCAGCCCTAGCCCAGGCCCAGTGAGTGTGTGGGAGAGCTTCTGACTATCATGCGCCGGCCAACGGGACCTATCCGGTCCAAGCCCAGGCGCAGCGTGGGTGAGACCCTCTTCCACTCCCTTTGGACTCCTCCCCCCACCACTCCACAACCCCCCTCACGCCCACCCCTGATGTGTTCTTGGGACCCCCAGATCCAGCCCTAGCCCAGGCCCGGTGAGTGTGTGGGAGAGCTTCCTCTACCCTCTATTCCCCCTTGTCCCCTTCAGACTCAGCTCAGGCCTGGCATACAGGTCTGGGGTGAAACCCTGCAGCTGCAGTCCCTGCAGAGAGAGCAGGGGACAGAACCACCCAGCTAGTCCAGGAACTGAACATCTTGCCAGAGGGGCACAACAGGTTCACCCCCAAGGGCAGCAACAGAAAGGAACTAAGCACAGCAGCCAGACCCAAGCCAGGCACAGCTGGATAAATCCAAACTTTGTAGATCTACACCTGAATTTCAGTAGGTGCTAAGGTTATAAATGCACCAAAGCTCTACAACAAACGTCAGAAGACAGTGCTACACAAAATGACAAGAAGGAGCAAAATGCAATCTCAGACCCCAAGCCCACCCATAACAAGTGCAGAGGACACTAACACAGACCAAACTGGGAATCACACAGCTGAAATCACTGAATAAACGGCTTCTGAAATAAAGAAACAACTGCAGAAAGGTATAGAAGAACTAAGATTGGAAATGAAAAAAGAAATCCCTGAATTAATAGCATCTGTAGTAAAGAATCAAATGCAGAAACATATGGAGGAAACCCAATGCCCACGCAGAACAAGTGCAGAGGACACTAGCTCAGCTCAAATGTATGAATTAATAGCATCGATAGTAAATAAGCAACAGCAGAAAGTTATAGGGGAACTCAAGAGTGGAATTCTTTTCTGAAATAAAAAAAGAATTCTCTGAACTCATAGCATCTGAAGTAAAGAATCAACTTCAGAAACATAGGGAGGAAACCCAGTCTGAAAAAAGCACTGCAGTAAAAGAACTAATAACTGTTTATAAAGAAGACATTGATAAAAAAAAAAAAAAAGAGATTAGAAAAACGACAGATTCCTTGAATGAGCAATACAGGAAAGAAATAGATTGCATGAAGCAGAGTCAAAGAGATATAGAGGAACTTAAAATCTCAATCACAAGCTTCCAAAACCGTTTGAGTGAAAGTGAAGACAGAGTTTCAGATCTTGAAGATGCTGGTGCAGCTAGTGAAAAGGTAAGAAAAGATCTCTTAAAAAAACTAGGATGCAGGAAAAAAAAATTCATCACTTGCAAGACGATGCAAAGATGAACAATGTAAGACTAATAGGTATCAGTGAGAAAGAAGGAGTCAATACAAAGGACATTAAAAAAATGGGCAGAAGGAATAGCAGAAAACTTCCCAAATATGAGGAAACAGTCTGACATTCAGGTAACTGAAGCATACAGAACACCAAGTAACCTCAACCCAATTAAAAACACACTGAGACATATAATAGTCAAGATCCCAGAAGTCCTAACTAAATATGACTTAAAACTCATATTTTTCTTCTTTTATTATCACAGACTAAAAAAACAAATAACTAAATATCCGTTAAGCAATAATTTTTGATTCAAGTTGTAGATTCCATCCATAAATAAGCAGTGCTTGGTGCATAGTTCAGAGTACAAAACAAACACCAACTGTTATAAAAAGCAGAAAAAATTTTATAACTAAATGTGGTAACTAAAAATCAAGTTATATGTTAATTTAAAACACACCACATCCTTTTTTTTTTTTTTGAAATTTTATTTATTTGTTTTAGGATATTGGAGATTGAACTCAGGACCCTGCGCTTGCCACGCAGGTGCTTATTCTACTGAGCTATTTCCCCTAACCTGGACAACCTATCCTTGAATGAGTAAGGTGTGGGGAATGTACTACCAAGAAACAAGTTTGTTTGTTTATGTATTTGGTTGTTGCAGGGTCGTGGTGATCCTGTTTTCAGTCTTCCCACTGCTGGGATTACAGGCCTGCACCACCATGCCCAGACTCTGGTGGCTGGCTCAGCATATCCAGGGGCAGGGCTTGCTCTTGCCTAAACAGGCACAAACAAGTTTTTGTTTCTATGCATTTTTTTCTGGTACTGGGAATTGAACACAGGATCTTGTGCTTGCCAGGCCAGCACTTACACCACTGAGCTATATCCCTAGAGATTTCTTTCCTTTTTTAATTTTTAAAAATGTATTTAGTACAAGGTCTACAGGGTCTCACTACACATATTAGACTCCCAAGTGCTGGGAGTACAGGCTCACGCCACCACACAGAGTCTCCATCACCATCTCAATGTACCCTAGGGTGGGGCCAGCACAGCATGCCAAGGATGAACCCAGTCCCTGGGTCAGCCTAAGCAGGCGCTTTAATCCACTGAGGTATCTGGCTGGCTTTTTTGTTTTTGTTTTTGTTTTTGTCAGAACTGGGGATTGAACTCAGGTCCTTGCGCTTGCCAGGGTAGTGCTTAATCCACTGAGCCATCTCCCCGGCCCCCCATTTTGCTGTGGTTCTCTTTTTTTTTTTTTTTAAGACAGGGTCTTTGGCTTTGAACTCACAGTGACCCTCCTGACTCAGCCCCAGCCTCCCGAGTGCGGAGATGACAAGCACAGGACACCATGCCTGGCTGGAAACAAGTACTCCTGAATATGTAAAGCTTGGAAAAGTTATTTTTTTCTTTTTGCTTTTTTTCTTCTCGGTATCGGGGATGAAATCCAGGATCTTCACACTCACTTAACATTACCAACACTTTTTATTTATTTTGAGACAGTGTCTCACTGAGTCACTGAGTTGTCCAGGCTGGCTCAACTTTACAAACTCCTCCTGCCTCAGCCTCCCAGAGTTCTGGGATTACAAGCCTGGGGCATTGCACCTAGCTAATTTATATTAAGACAGTTACTGGGCCAGCAATATAGCTCTGCAGCACAGTGCCTGCCTAGCAGGAGTATGGCTCTGAGTTCAATTTCTAGTACCAAAACTCCCCCCCACCCCCATCACATAAGACTGAGAAATACACAAAGATAACAGTGTCCACCAACACCTGGGATACCTAGTAAGATTCTGTCTTGGGGAGAAAAAAAAAAAATCCCAAAACTAATGTGGATACAAATCCTACTCTGTCACAGGGTATTGTAATAATTATGTACAAAATTCTGTAAGAATCTGAAGTACTAACCTTTAAATATTTGCACGAAAAGTTAACAAATTTTTTGCTGTTGCTAAGACAGGATCTTGCTATGTAGTTTAGGTTGTCCTTGAATTCCCTGAGGAGCCAGGGCTGCTTCAGCCTCCTGAGTGCTGGGATTACAGGTGTCATCACCCTTGGCTTGAGCCAGAGTTTTAAATTCATTTTTAAAAAGTAAAAGCTTGACTATTAAGCAATTTAAAACTTTTTTTTTTAGATCATTAATCTGAGAATCAGATGAACACAGAATTTTTCCCAGAATACACACACTGGCCTGTAAAGGGCCTGAGTAATCATGTAACTTGGTCAACATTCACTGACTGAATGTCTGCTGTGTCCCAAAGGGCCAGAAGGAGAGGAGAGCTGGTGAGGGGGGGACAATGGAGAACAGACAAAGCAAAGGATAATGTGCTTTTGGCATAAAAGGGGACCAGTCCTCTTCTCCCATGGACTGACCGAGTAATGAGAAGTAGGGGGTGGGGTGAGGGTGCGGCAGACAATGAGCTCTTCTTGGGACAACTGATGGAGGAACACACAGGGCTCAAGGTTTGCATTTGGAGGTAAAGCCCTTCCCAGGGTGCCCACTTCTACAGATCACATCTGGGCTCAAGAGGCTGAGCACACAGCAGCTACACGCAGACCTCCCAGCCCATGAGGGCCTCCAGGCATGCAGTCCCGTCCCTAACACAGTAACACATTATTTCAGATCCCCTCGTCCCCCACAGCACACCTTGAGTTCAAGGCCAGCTTGAACTATATGATATATGAGACCTTGTCTCAAAAAAAAAAAAAAAAAAAAAAAAAAAAAAAAAAAAAAAAAAAAACAGCAAAAAGAAAACAATCAAACCAAAGTAAAATAAAAAATGGTATTCTGATTTGAATAGAACGCTTGAGGGGGAGTCTGTGGGGACAGAAACCTTAGATGTATTTCAGAACTCTCTACCAGAAAATTTAGAGACAAATATGTAAAACGTACACAAAACAAAAACTCTTCAATCTTGAATTTGGCTTTTATTTTAAAATACATTTAGCAGAGAACTGTCACAAGACAGGAAATAGCAAAACATAAGACACAGCATTTTCAAATTCTTTTTAAGCTACACATAAAAATCAAGAGGCTAGCACAGACCCAAACTGGGGGGAACATTTCTTAAAAAATTCAGTCCATAAACTACACACTTTGAATGAAAAGCTCTTCTCACATTTCCAGTGGACCGAGAGGTTTCTAGGTGCCCTGGTTTCTTTTCAGCTAATAGATAAACAGCCCAAATTCAGTTGCTTTCCTTAAAATTATCAGGTTCAGTTTTGGTAAAAAAAATTACCATGCCCTTAAATTCTCAATCAGAATTATAAAAATAGGAGCTCAAATAGTTATGCTGTTCAAAATAGAAACATCTTGGTACTTCTAGATAACCATAGAGATACTGCACTAAAACCAGTCATTCCATACCTGATGATCCTTTACATGGAAACTTCCTTTTCTTTCTGGTTTTTTTTTTTTGTTGTTGTTGTTGTTGTTGTTGGAGACAGGGTCGTGCTATGCAATTCAGTAATTCAGGCTGGCCTTGAATTAACTATGCAGAGCAGGCTGGCCTCCAACTCATGGCGATCCTCCTAGCTCAGATTCCTGAGTGCTGGGATTATAGGTGTGCACCCCCATACTTGGCAATTTTCTTCTTTATGAAAATCTTACCACAAACTTAATGTTAAACTAATTACAATCACACTTCAAAATATAAAGGCACACACAGAAAACAGAATAGTTTAAAACTATACACATTATGCTCAAATTTTCTACTGTGAAAATAATAAAATTCAGAAAAAATAGATTCTAAACTACTAATGCTTATTACTTTTAATTTTATACAGTGTATATTTTTTACCTAATAAGTAGGTATTAAAAGTTAATTGTGGGAAATCCAATGCTTTCAAATAACTTAGAGAAATGGTTTGTGTCTGATGAACATGTGTGCCGTCCTCACGTAAACACTAGCTCCGTTCCAGGCACAGGAAAGAGCCACCCGCAGTACACACAGCGAGACAGCGTACAGACGCTGCCTCCCGCTATCACTTGCACCACACAGAAAAATACCTACAAAATGGAAATACTTATCTATTTAGCTTCTAATAAATCATGAGAAATTTTAGCCCATTTCAATTTCTTTGTAAAAAGACACTGAAGAGTTAAGTACTGGTGGTGTACTTCAATCCCTGTTAGTTCGATATCTACTTTTAAAATATCTGCCTCATCATATGCAACTTAGGTCTGACTTTTGTATCACAGTATACATGGCATTTCTTAAGTCAGCAACAGAAAGGCACAATTAGCAAGCAATAAAATTCAGTACCTGATTTATTAAACAGATGCCCAAAACAGTTGCAAAAGATGTACATTCAACACAGTGTACAGAACTTAAAAAAATAAGGAATCCAAAAACAAATTTTTCTGAAAGTTTGGTCCATTAAAAATGCTCCCATGTTCGACATCATGGGTAACATGAACACGAAAGATGGTGGCAGTGTAAAAAGAGGCAGTTGATCGATGTGGTAGCCTGTGGATTTGGCCTGGTGATTACGCGACTCAGTTAGGAAATGGCTCCCAGAGGACATACATGTTAAACATTATTTCTTAGTAACAACATACCTGCATTAATTCCAAATACACAGGCACAATTGTTTGCATATTATTCTTGACTTTATAATACGCACCCCACTGTTTAAAAAAAAACTTAGGTATATTCTTTTATTTATATATAACATACATTAGATATGATTGCATATTATGTACCTTTATATATATATATATATATATATATATATATATATATATATTCCATAAAAGCACAAAACTCTCCAAACACATGAACATTCTAAATGGAAACTTGGCGTTTTCTCAGTGTTAAAACAGACCAATTCACCTACCACAAGATCTGGATGTGCAATGATACAATGCACCAACTCTTAAGAATTTACTTAAACAATTATTTAAGATAAATTCTTGCCAAAGCCTAACTTGGACCTTTCACTTACAGCATATTTTAGATGTCAGTAACTAGTACTTCTCCTCTCTTATTATACAGTATTTCCCCATCAAGAGATACCAATAAACAAAAATATGTAGGGAACAAAAAAAGTGATAGAGAAACCAACCATTCCATAGGTAATATACCGATACGGAAGTTCAACTTCCATGTGCTGTCTTGCCTTCTGAATATCGTCACATGGTATTTTAAAGATTTTACAGGCCAAAGGAATGGAGATCTTTTTCATTATGTTTCTAACTATCAGTACAACTCCCATCCCGACGAGGACCCGCAATATGGCTTTTGCGAAGACAGTCAGAGTGAGCGGAGGCACGGGCAGAGGGAACAGGTCTGCAGGAGGATCCGCCAGCAGCCCCAGGCTGTGGGTGACGTGGGAGCCACACGCGATTCCAGCGCCACTTCCCAGAATCTCAGCTGTGTCTCCGCGGGAAGTGCTCCAGGTATCAAGAGTGAAAGAAAAGATCCCCAAGGCTAAGTGCAGCCCAATGATGATCAGCGGGGCATGTCTGTGAGTTTGGTTGAAGTTGTCGATCAGGCCCACAAATGGATAGAAGACAGCCAAGATTACAATGGTGTACAGGAATCCGGCGATAATGTCCTGGGGAAAGATATTTCACATTTCAAATATTGGATACAGAGTTTTTATGGGTTTTTTGGTTTGTTTTTTCTTTTTCTGTTTTCTTGGTACTGGGGATTGAACTCAGGACCTTGAGCTTGTCAGGCAAGCGCTTATTCTACTGAGCTATCTCCCCAGCCAAAAGTTTTTTTTTTTTTTCCCAGAGTTTTTAATAGACACAGATTTTGTAGCCCAGGTTCCATCGGTCCACTGTAGATACACACAGCGATCACCTGCACGGAGTGTTTGTGCCCGTATGCAACAGTTCCTTTTCTTCTCCATGTCCCCACCCGCTCTGCAATCCCTCCTTCACTCCCCACTGACAAAAGCTTTGCTTCAGTGCTTTGCGTCTCCTCATTTCTTCTTTTCCCTTGTTTCCTTGGCCCCTTCTTTGTTCCCCTCTGCATTTGAACATTTTCTTCCTATTTGACAGTATTATACACTTTAAGGCTGTACTTTCAGGGATCATTTCTATAGTCCTTATTTATACTTCTAATTTCTCACACCAGAGAAACAGTGTAGCATTTACACATGTGAGCCCGACACAGCTGACTCAAGAGCATGGCTTTAGGAGGCACCCATTTACCTGGGCGCCTCAGCTTATCCTTTATGGCACAGTGTACTCCACTGTATAAAAATCTGTGCCCATTCTTCAGTTGATGGGCATTTGGGTTGTTTCCATGAATTGCTACAGCCAAAATTTTTAAAGGAAACAAACCATGTATCAGGCACTAAAACCTTTTTCTTTCTTTCTTTTTTTTTTTTTTTTTTTTTTGCGGAACCAGGGATTGAACTCAGACCCTTGTGCTTACCAGGGAAGTGCTTATTCTACTGAGCCATCTCCCTCGCCCCCATTAAAAACTTTTAACAACAAATAAAACTTAGTTTTACCTCAGTTCTACCTTCTTAAGTCAACTACATGACAGTATACGCAAATTTGTGTTCAGATTCTTAAGAGTAAACTATGTTTACATCGTGTGATTTTCTCTTTTTTTTTCTTTTCTTTTCTGTTTTTTGGCAGAACCAAGGATTGAACTCAGGCCCTCGCACTTGCCAGGCAAGTGCTTATTCTACTGAGCCATCTCCCCGGCCTCTATTTATTTATTTTTAAAGGCTATCTTTCTTATTTATTTATTTATTTATTTGTGTGTGGTGTGTGGTCAGCTCAGCCCACCAGGGGGCGGGGCTGGCTGGCATGTGACGCTGGGGGATTGAACCGCGGTCCCTGTGCTATTTGCTAAGCTTGTTCTAAGTAGGTGCTTTAGACCACTAAGCCATCTCACCAGTCCCGAGAACTTCCATTTTTAAATCTTTTACTTATTTATTTATTTTTTTATGGCCAGCTTAGCCCACCCTGGGGGCAAGGCTGGTGCAGCATGTGGTGCCAGGGATTGAATCGCAGTCACACTTGCCTAAACAGCACTGCTGGGCTATCTCGCCAGCTCCCCTCCAAAAAAAATTAGAACTTCTATTTTAGTGAGGAAGTCTGATAATAACTAAGTATAAAAGAAAGCAGGTAAACACTATAATTTCAGGTAGTTAGAAATGTCTTGAAGAAGCTAAGACAAGTTAGCATAATGAAAGATCCTATTAGTGTTTAGGGAAGTCTGTCTGAGGAAGTGATACAAGCAAAGATTTGACTCTTTCTTTGTTGCTTTTGATTTTGAGACAGTCTATGTAGTCCAGGCTGGCCTTGAACTTGTGGCAATCCTCCTATCTCAGCCTCTCAGTTATTGGGATTATACCCAGCTAAAGACTTAATTCTAAAAAGGAGCCTGTCCTATCCTCAAAGCTAGAGGGAATGTTTGAGGTCAAGAGACAGGAAAGAGGGAAGGGAACAGAAAAGAAAAGAAAAGAGGTGTTATATGTACATGTATCAGCTCCCCAAGATGACTGTAGTCATGCACTGCAAACACGGACCAATGTAAAAACACAATTTTTTTTTTTTTTTTGTACCAGGAATTGAATTCAGGACCTTGTGCTTGCCAGGCTGGCGTCGTACTGCTGAGCTATATCTCTGGCCTAAAAACAAAATTCTTAAAGGCAAAAGGTTTGAGACAAAAAAACAGTCCAAGGAACTATGAGAAATCCAGTAAGACATCTTCCTTTTTATTTATTTATTTTTTTCGTGGCCAGCTCAGGCCGCCCTGAGGGCAGGGCAGGCTGGTGGGGCAGGATCAAACTGGTCCCTGTGCTATCTCCCTGGCCCTCAAACATTCTTTTTGAAAGAGGTGTGGGATACAAGTCAGGGACTGGTACTAGTCCAATCTGGAGGGAGCTCTTACCAGCTAAGGAAAGAGCTTAGCTTTTATTTCACAAGGAACAGGGAATCACCACTGGGAGGCTACATGCGGGAGCCTAACAGTACCACTGGCATTTGTCCAAGCGGGCTCAGGCCTCAGGGCTGGAGCAGATGGGGAGGTGGAGTGGGGGACCCAAGAGCACTGCAGGTGCTGCAGGAGGTTACAGCTGTGCTCCATCTCCACACATTCTCTGATGAGGGCAGAAATCAATGAAATGGATTAAAAAAAAAAAAAAATCAATGAATCCAAGAGCTGGTACTTTAAAAGAATAAAAAACAAACCCTCAGCCAATCTTCAAAAGAAAAGTGCTAGGGAGTTGAGGTATCCCCCAGAGGCCCCTCAGGACCCCCAGGTCCATGGCCAGGAAGGTGTGCAGCCCACACTGCCTGTGTGTCTGAAGCCAGCACTGTCTCTTGTCCCCTGTATTTTCACTGTTCTTTCCGGAAGGTCATAGGTCTGTCTGTGAGCTCTTGGTGGAGAGGATTCCAATTCCCTCCTCACATCCAGATACCCAGGGTCTGGGTCTCCAGAGCTACCTGCTGTGCCAGGGACAGCAGTGTCATCTCCACGGTGTCCGGCACACAGGGACCCTTTCCCTGGCCCCCAATAAAGACTGAGCTCACCTTAAAAAAAAAAAAAAGAAGAAGAAAGACACAAATGAATGCAATTAGAAATAAAATAAAAAAGTAAAATCACTCTGGCCATTGCCAAAATCCAGCATATTGTTCCCAACTACTTCACAAACTTGTACACTAATAAATTGGAGAATATGGAAGAAATGGAGAGATTTCTAGATGCATACAAATTAGCAAAACATAATCAAGAAGGCTTAAAATTCCAAAATAATCAAATATCAGGAAACAAAACTGAAGCAGTAATAAAAATCACACCACCTAAAAAACAATCCAGGAACAGATGGATTCACCACTGAATTCTATTAAGAACTTCAGGGGCCACGGAGATGGCTCAGGAGAATAAGCACTTCCCTGGCAAGGGCAAGGGCCTGAGTTCAATCCCTGGTTCCGTCAAAAAACAAAACAAAACAAAAAAAGAACTTCAGGGAAGATCTCATGCCAGTACTATTCTTTAATGACACTAAAAGGGAAAGAGTACCCCTAAAGTCATTCCTGGAAGGTAGCGTTATCCTGACTCAAAAACCAGATAAAGATCCAACCAAAAAAGAGAAGCACAGGGCAATTTCTATAATGAATAGATACAAAAATTCCCAAAAAGATACTGGCAAAAGCTATGCAATAAATCATCAAAAAGATCAAATGCCACAACCAAATAGAGATGCAAGGATGGTTCAAAATAAGCCAATGAACATAATATATCACATAAACGGAAGTCAGGACAAAACAAATCATGCAATCATCTCAACAGATGCAAAAAAAAGCTTCTGACAAAATCCAACATCTACTCATGATAAAAACACCAAGGAAAACAGGTATAGAGGGCCCTTATCGCAATCTGATAAAAGTGATTTGACACAAAACTACCATCTTATTAAGTGGGGAAAACTTGAAAGCTTTCACTCTAAATCAGGATGTGCACAAGAACCATTCCTTTTCAACATAGTTCTTGAAACATTAGTTAGAGCAATCAGGGAAGGAAAAGAAAAAGAAGTCGCAAAGTATCATTATTTGCAGGTATCATGATCCTCTACTTACAAGACCCAAAAAATTCCACTGAAAGACTCCAAGAATTAATTAATAACCAAATTCATAAATTTAGCAGCATACAAAATAAACACACAAAAGTCAGTAACACTCTTATACACTACGAAGGAACTCAAATATCATTCACAATGGCATCAACAAAAATTAAACACTTAAAAATTAACCTAAACAAGGAAGTGAAAGCCCTCTATAATGAAAATTACATCATTCTACAAAATAAGTTTGAAGAGGACATCAGAAAATAGAAACATATTCCATGTTCCTGCATAGGCAGAACCAACACAGTCACCATGACTATACTTTCAAAACTCATAAAATTACAATGATTTACAACAAAAAATGGGATCAGGGAGATACCTCAGTAGAATAAGCACTTGCCTGGCAAGTGCAGGGTCCCGAGTTCAATCCCCGGTACAGGGAAATTTAAAAAAAAATCCTCCCACATTGAACTCCACTTGGAAGAAGTGAGTCTGGTCTCAAAATGGAGGTAAAGCCACTGCCTGGTCGCCCCCAGCCGACTCTGGCTGTCACAGTCCACCAGGGGGAGGAGGGCCATGATCCAAAGTAGCCAGAGCAATTGAGGAAGCTGTTTATTGGTGGTCTGAGTTTTGAAACTACCGATGATAGCAGAAGAAAACACTTTTGAGAAATGCAGCACACTCACAGATCGTGTGGTAAGCAAAGCCCCACAACCAAATGCTCCAGAGGCTTTGGAGTTGTGACTTATTCTCGTGCTGAAGAGGCAGATGCAGCAGTGTGTGTGTGCTCGACCACACAAAGCTGATGGGCGTGTTGTGGAACCAAAGAAAGCTGTTTTTAGAGAGGATTCAGTATAGTCTGGTGCCCATCTAACAGTGAAGAAAATTTTTGTTGGTGGTATTAAAGAAGATACAGAAGAATATAATTTGAGAGACTACTTTGAAAAATATGGCAAGATTCAAACCACAGACGTTATGGAAGATGGGAAGAGTGGGAAAAAGAGAGGATTTGCTTTTGGAAC